ATAGACCACTTTCATAAATGGCTGCCAGATTAATATTCTTTTGTTTAAATTTAAATTAGCCTTTCTGGCCTTGTTCTCCAGTACAAAATTCAAAAGAATACATTATCTCAAGCGAGGCCAGAAAGGCTAATTTAAATTTAAACAAAAGAATATTAATCTGGCAGCCATTTATGAAAGTGGTCAATGAGATGCTGAGGGCTTGTCTTCAGATTGGGCAATAGTCAACCATGTATGCTAGATTCTAACTTCTGGTTCCTCCAGGCCAAGCAGACATTTCCAATTTTTTTTAAATTAAATTGGTTCATTGCAGGGAGTATCATTTTGCAAATGCAACAACTTGATCAGTAAACTTTTCCACCAATAAAGGTCAAAGCCTGTAAGCTTTGGAAATAGTGAATTTTTATTGACCGTCTTGTTTTATGTAAATAGAACAAGCTTTTTTATATCTTGTTAGCTCATTCATTTTATTTCTTTAAATGTTTGTTTGTCCATTTGACATTTTATTTTGGTATTATCAAAAAGAACTCTTTGAGTTTTTCTTTTTGAATGAATAATTCCAAAAGAAAATGAGTCCAATGTATAATTTCTGCATTTCAATACAGGTTATTTCAAGAAAAGAAGTCTGTAACTGTAAAACTAAGTATATTTTACTTTCAAAGGTACCTTAAAGGGTTTTATATGTAGAATAAGGTAAGAAAATTACACCTTGAGATTAAAATACACAATATTTATACGACTATCAAGGCTCAACACTGACGGTAGCCAACTAGCCACAGACCAGTTTAAATTCACTTTTGGCTGGTGGTTTTCAATTTCTATTGGCCAGTTTGGCTGGTAGACAAACTGAAATTGTCGTAACATCTAAGATGTCACTAGCCTCCGCACCATGGCCCCCCTTCATGAATTGCACTCTGGATTTTTAAAAAATTCCTGCAGTGTATTTTCTTTATCAAAGAACCAAGGTTTTTCGGAAAAAATCCATTTTTCAGCATTAAACAATCAAATAGGTCTATTTAATGTAAAATCAGGTGAAAAAGTTAGGGTTAGGGTTAACACTCCCGTTTCCTTACCTTCAAACCCTCTCGCCTAATTTGCCACTTTTAGACCCACAGTTCAACCAGCTTAACCCCTTTTCTGCCCAAAACCAGTGTGCATTTTCTCCATACTGTTCTCTACACATTCCCTATGGATGTAACAAGGAGAATTTATTTAACAATCAAGAGCCTCTTTAGTTGGTGGTCATTTTCTGCGTTCTCATGAACTTGATATGTAATTTAAGTATGAAGTATAGAAAGGAGAAATTAAATGCTAGTCTTGTGGTGGCCAAACAGTTAGAGATAATGGACCAACAAATATTTGAGACCTTAAAAAAGTATATCAAGGCCTTTCAAACTTCAGAAGAAAAGAGGAATCATTTTGATGTGATGTCTTCACTTAATATATGTGAGAAAATATATTTTGTAAATATTTGATGAAATGCATATAGATGAGAAAGTTGAAGTTGACTTTTGAAATATCTGAGAATGTTCATATTTTGTGCAGAATGGGGATGAACACAGATGGATTGAAATAGGTATGTGATGATGGTTGTCCTTTAATTTGACCAGCTAACAAGTCGCTTGTTACTGTAACAGTTATATATTGAATGAAGGAAACATCTTACAACTGAAGTAGTTTACACCATCAAAACTCAATGCTCATTATTTAAAGTGCACCTAAACCCAAAATTTTTTTTGCTTAACGAAATAAGCGTATTTTTTGGAGTATTTCTGTGCAAAAATTTTTTCTATTTGCTCAAATCTTCAATTTTCTGTGCCCAATCAAAATACGGAAAATCGGCCGCCATCTTGCCCCGCGACCGAGTTTAAAGAGGAATGGCTCTAGCAGGTAATGTGACGTCAAATTGAGAACACGAAAGTCTGCATTTCACACATTTTCACTTGTTTGGGAAGGTTGAGCAAGAGGGTATCGCGCTTCATACATTCTTCATACAACACACCTAGTCGGCATATTTCAGACAATATCGACAACAACCTTCCCAAACAAGTGAAAATGTGTGAAGTGCAGACTTTCGTGTTCTCAATTTGACGTCACATTACCCTCTAGAGCCATCCCTCTTTAAACTCGGTCGTGGGGCAAGATGGCAGCCGATTTCCCGTATTTTGACTGGGCACAGAAAATTAAAGATTTGAGCAAATTAAAAAATTTTTACACAGAAATACTCCAAAAAATTAGCTAATTTCGTTGAGCGAAAAAAAAAATTGGGGGTTTAGGTGCGCTTTAAATTCATCAGCACCCCAGATAGAGAAAGTTACAGCGAGTAAAGGATCTATCTAAAGAATGCAACATAATAATCTGACTCTGGGTCTCAGACTTAGACCTTTTAAACTGTCTTGGCATGCACTAGCCAATGGTTTCCAAAGTTTTCAGCTCTTATGATGTCTTCATTTTCAGTTAAAGAAGCATTTGGTGACTATATGTCTGATTGGAGTGCTGAGAAATTTGTTGAGAGGTGTGTAATTAATCATTTCTGGTTATGTGCCTGCTTGAATAACTCATTTTTAGTAATAAGGATGTGTTAATATTGTATAGAATCCTCTTGGGAAGTTCTGTCCTAAAATATTAAGAGCTATTATCAACATTTTCCTCAACAAAAATTTGCTTAGTTAGTACACAATTATTTGCAACAGAAATCAAGCCACTTAATAGCACCACAAAGACATTCACTTAAGAAACTATTTCAAGTAATTGTCTAATTTATGTTTTGTTTCTTTATTTTTATTTTATTTTTATATTTAAATATGAACCATTAATTAAAATTCTACTTATATACCAGTGATTAAAAGTTCCACTTTTTTTAACCAGTGTATTTTATTTTTTACAGGTATGCATCAAGTCCCCTGTTTAAGGAAGATGGCTTTTTCTTCATCAGACATAAAGAGAGATATGTAGCCACAGCATTTGCCTGGCAAGAAAAAACAAACTCATCCGAAGGACGTCTTCATTGGTTAGCAGTGTTGCCTGAGTATCACAGGCGTGGCTTGGGGAGAACTCTTGCATTGCATGTTCTTTATTATCATAAGGATCATGGGAAGCAATCAGTGTGTCTTAAAACTGAGATTTACAGACATTCTGCAATTAAACTTTACAAAGACATTGGATTTGTTTGTGTTGCTAAAGGGACCTGACAGAGCCACCAAAACAAATTATCACTCTATTTGCAATGTAGGTGTCATCCTTTGCAACTTGCATATACAAGGGAAGGGACATAGACCACTTTCATAAATGGCTGCTGGACTAATATTCTTTTGTTTAAATTTAAATTAGCCTTTCTGGCCTTGTTCTCCAGTACAAAATTCAAAAGAATACATTATCTCAAGCGAGGCCAGAAAGGCTAATTTAAATTTAAACAAAAGAATATTAATCTGGCAGCCATTTATGAAAGTGGTCAATGAGATGCTGAGGGCTTGTCTTCAGATTGGGCAATAGTCAACCATGTAGGCTAGATTCTGACTTCTGGTTCCTCCAGGCCAAGCAGACATTTCCAATTTTTTTAAATTAAATTGGTTCATTGCAGGGAGTATCATTTTGCAAATGCAACAACTTGATCAGTAAACTTTTCCACCAATAAAGGTCAAAGCCTGTAAGCTTTGGAAATAGTGAATTTTTATTGACCGTCTTGTTTTATGTAAATAGAACAAGCTTTTTTATATCTTGTTAGCTCATTCATTTTATTTCTTTAAATGTTTGTTTGTCCATTTGACATTTTATTTTGGTATTATCAAAAAGAACTCTTTGAGTTTTTCTTTTTGAATGAATAATTCCAAAGGAAAATGAGTTCAATGTATAATTTTTGCATTTCAATACAGGTCATTTCAAGAAAAGAAGTCTGTAACTGTAAAACTAAGTATATTTTACTTTCAAAGGTACCGTAAAGGGTTTTATATGTAGAATAAGGTAAGAAAATTACACCTTGAGATTAAAATATACAATATTTATACTACTATCTAGGCTCAACACTAACGGTAGCCAACTAGCCACAAACCAGTTTAAATTCACTTTTGGCTGGTGGTTTTCAATTTCTATTGGCCAGTTTGGCTGGTAGACAAACTGAAATTGTCGTAACATCTAAGATGTCACTAGCCACTTGGCTAGTAAGTTGAGAATTTAGAGTGGAGTCCAGACTTTAAATCTATGAAGTTCTATATTGAGATTAAAGTATCCAAAATTTATACCAATATAAATCTTTGAAGTTCTGTAATCCATAATATTTGTTACCAACAAGCTGTAGGTACATATTTGTGCAGGATCCTCGCAGTAAAGAGCACTATTTAAGCAATAGTGAAGGTCAGACCTGAAAAAAATTCAGGCTTGTACGGGATTCAAACCACTGACCTCTGCAATTCTAGTGCAGTGCTCTACCAATTGAGCTAACTGGCCAACTGGGAGCCAATTTGTTTCAGGTCTGATCTTCACTATTGCTTAAATCGTGCTCTTTACTGCGACGATCATGCACAAATACCTTTCTATAACCGCAGTTCAGATATATGAATTTCATATATTCGTTGTGTCTAAGCTGTAGGTATTTGTAAATAAATTTTGAATTTTCAGTTGACGATATAGGCCACTAAATTACTAACTCTGAACATAGTTTTCCCACTTTTAAACCATACGCATGGCAGAAAAGATATAACCGCTATCTGTTTTTTTTCCGATGCTGCTCAGCATAAAGTCCTGCATATGTCGAGTTTGACGCATTTGCATTAGAATATCAAGCAGACTCGAGTTATATCTGAAGGGTTAAAATCATCCACTTGAATTTAACTTTAATGAGTATTAATTCAAATATTCTCCGACTCTTTAAATGGAGCTGGTCTCACACTCATTTTAATGTACATGTAGACCGCCTGAAGCGCGGCTAACGCTAGTGACCGAGTGGCAATTGATTGTAACGTTGCATCTGATTGGTTGAGAGGTCAGCCCGAATTTTCTTGACTAATGATGTGGCATCGCGAAGAATTAACGCGAACGTATCTTGGTTTTCATTGGGTTCTCTGTTGGAAATTGCCTTCACTCCGGCTTAACTCATGAAACGGCCATCACCTGATGAGTTATAACTGTTAGTAAAGAGCAGTCCCAGTTTTTTGTATTTCCTCTTCAAATCCCGCATTCTTTTCCTCGCCCACTGTAACTGCTTTTCCATTAGATGAAATGTTCGCATCTTTGACATACTTTCCACTCCCTCTCCTTCTTGCCCTGGCATTTTTCCTGAGCCTTTTCACTAACAGATGTAACATAAATGTCACAAACGAAACCACCATTAAAAAGCCCACAACGGCAACTGCAAGAACTAAACTCGATATTGGCTTCTTTTTATATTCTTTGTCGCTGTCAGGCTTGGATTGCGCTAAAACAAAACGAAACAAATATTTTCGATCAGTTATGTGGATGCTAAAGACGATTGTTTTCGTGAGTGTTCTCTCAAGTTGAATGGTTCTGGATCTTTCATCACTCGGTGTACACTGTGATGTTGTAATATATTCCTTTGTTGTTCATTCAAGATGAAAAATGTTCAGACTCATTCGCGGCGGCACCGATTTACCTTTTCAGCTTGCCCCCATTAATATGATCTTTACTGAGACCTATTTAATTGTTAGAAAATGAAATAGGAGATATGTAATTCTGTCTATCCTGGAAGATATGTAATTCTGTCTATTCTAGAACTAAACTAATATTATTTATTATCCAGCTATGCTTCGTAAAGTACAAATAACGCCCAAAGCGAGTACAAATATCTCGCAGTATTTGTACTACAGAGAACAGGTTAGACAAGTTTTCTCGCATTGCGCAAACGACGAATTAATTGAAGCTAGGAAAAAAAATGGCGGACGTACTCCCTGTAGATAATCTCTTATTAGACATTTTGTTGTGTTGTATCTCTGAGTACTTTTACTCGTTGTTTGTATTTTGACGAGCCCGCAAGGCGAGTCAAAATACGGCACAACTCGCAAAATATTCAGCGATACTATAAAACAAAACGTCTAATAAGATATATGTATTATTTAATATTTATTTAGTATAAATCGGGTAACATTCTATCACAAATACCGCAATCTGATTGGCTCTGCAACTCGTTCTATATTCCGTGATAAATAGCTAGTATAAAGAGACGCCTAACAGTGTCCAGTTGTCAACAAAATAGAAAGAAAACACGAACCTATCCTCAGTTTTGAACGACTAGTAGACTTAAAATAAAACGGTTTCTATCTATGATAGTATATTCGTGCGTCCCCCTCCATCAGCTATCAAGCGATAGAAATCTTGCGCTGCTCATAGTCCAATTGTTAAATACAGTGTATTGATTTTTGATATTACCTGTTGTCCCTATCTTGCTCTCTTTGTTTGGATCACTGTTAAATCCTCCGTTAACTTTGGAAATAACTACAGGGTTTGTTCTAAGAATTCTGGGAGTTGTCTCTGAAGAGAAAATGAACAGCGTGAACAGTGAGAAAATAACAAAACCTTTTTTTTACCTCCAACATCTAAATACCAGTCATCTTGTAGATCGAAATTCAATTTCTTGACGAGTCGTTAGTGTTTAGAATTAAGCGCTTTATCGAATAATCTTTTCGCCATTCTGCTAAAGATATATATTTTTTTTGTTCTCATGATCCATATCAATGGCTGTTAGTTATTTCCGGAATACAATTGACAGTAGGATTTAAATTTAACCTTGGCCCGTTATCCCAAATTTATCTCAAACCACAATATCGTTTTATACGCCCGCGTACGTGTGTTAGCCTTCAATCTTGATTTCCTCGATCGTGGTTTCAAGCCGCAGACTGCTTGCGGGCGCCAAAAGATCGTAATCGATACCGCAACAAACAGATTGCGATTGTCCGGCGGTATCCAATCACTTCGAGTCCTAATGGTACTGTATTGGAGGAGTGCGGTCTGTTGGCTCATCAGGAGCACGAAACGTTTTAAAGTTGTTTGTGGAGGGCGGGAATGATTTGCGGTTCGAGGATTTTGAGAGGAGTTCACCGAAAACTGTGTGAAATTTTATCAAAACGTGCGCAAAATTTATATTTTAAAGGTGCGCAAGTTCATTATTACGTACCACCAGAATTTATCCGCGGATAGAAATCTAAGAGAGCATATTATTAATGATATATCAGAGATTGATTATCGTCACTACGGGGCTGAAAGGTAAAATCAAACCAGTTTCACTGAAATTTGCCTCCGGTCTTTTCGTCCAAGGGTCTTTTCGTCCAAGGGTCTTTTCGTCCAAGGGTCTTTTCGTCCGAAAGTCTTTTCGTCCAAGTCTTTTCGTCCAAAAGTATATTCATCTTAAGTCTGTACGTCTAATTGTTAAGTCTTTCCGCGAAGCAAATAAATAACTATTATATTATATTACAGATAAGGCTATATAAAGAACTTACGTATACCAGTGCGAGCCGTTGCCCTTTTGGTTCACCAATCTTCGTTTACGTCATGAATTTAACGATAAATACACAGAGAATGAATGAAGTTGTAACGCAATATATTTTATTAAATAGTGGCAAAAATAAAGAATTGCTTGCCGCTTAATTATTTCACGCGAAAGAAATGGGAATATTAGACTTGTTGTTAAGTGTCTATTGAGCGTAAAAGGCAACGAAATGTAACATCACTACGTGTCCGACATACCCAACAACATAGTAAACCTTCGTTAGAGCGAATGAGGAAGGATTGGTGACTAAAGCTATCGGAACTAAAATGGCGGCGGCTCGCAACAAGTTCTTTATATAGCCTTATCTAGCCTTCTAAAAGTTATTTATTTGCTTCGAGAAAAGACTTAACAAGTAAACGAACAGACTTAGGTGAAAATACTTTTGGACGAAAAGATTTCAAAACAGGTCGTGCTAATAACATAGGCAAATTGGCTCATATGTATTTACATCAGTTATATGAATTCATTGCCTTGTGTGAAGTGTTACGGATGATCGACCAAAGGAGTAACATTTTCACCGAAACTACTTTCAGTACGAAGTATATTTTCAGTGCAGTTGGGTTTCTATGATTGCGCAGAAGTGCCTAGACACCGTATTCGATGCTTCAACGTGTAATAGGACGTGTATTTTCTGATTTGCGTAACAATTTTTAAGACGAGTTGCCCGTCGGGGCGAAGAAAAGTACGGCTAATGAGGTGAGATATCAAACCATCCAATAAGGAATTTGTTAATCCACCATGATTTCAAAATCTAGTATTTTGGCTTCCAGTTTTCGAAATTCGTATCAGAGCCTCGTCTGTGCATCGTATCGATCGCTGAAGGTGAGCGCAAAAGAGAAAAACAAAACAGACGAAACCATCAAAGTATTATCATGGCCAACAAAAACATTTATAGCACTGTTGCCCAGCTGTTCTGCAATGTGATAACGTAGCTGATTTTTCGCGTCCCAGTGCCCTAATATGGTAAAATGGCGTAATTGTGGAACGGCGTATTTTTTGGAATAATAATTAAAAAGATAATGCGGCGGGATAAAGTTTAATTGATCTGGTACCAACCTAAAACTTGGGTTTCAGTTGTATTCGGCCATGGTAGAGGCCAGTGAGAAAGCTTGCACAAACCATCTCCGGCATGAATTTCAGGGTAGTAAGGTATACATTGTGGAAAGTCGATGTTGTGCCTTTTAAATTCCTCGTCACAATCACGTCTCACCTCCTGGCACATTGATGGACAGGCATGAAGGGTGGAGCCATCATTACTTACACAAGGTGCAGTCTCAATGAAGCAGGCAAACCGTCTTAACTTGACAGAGCAACTTGAGTTTAGGACAGGGCTGAGATCGCTGAGAAAAGACCGGAGTCGATTTCTCGTATTATTTCCTAGGCCACTGAAATTGTCTTTCAAACAGGCAGGCCGACTTGCCGTTTCACAACTTGGTAATAATGGCTCTACGAAACAATAGAAAAAAAAGACACTTTTCCTTTAGTATTCTAGTTTAATGTGTTTATTTAGTCCTTTTAGTTCCCACAGTTCGTCCAAAGATCTAACGTAAAGGAGGTTAATGAACCACTGGTAAAACTTGACAAGTTTCTACATGAAAAGTTCTTCAGTGGCAATGTTTAAGAATATGTCAATGTTACTCGAAACGTCGCCTTGACACGTTCCCTTATCCAAAATCTTAACATGCCTTTTTTTTTGGACTTAGAGATTTGTCAAGGGAAAAGTTAATTGATCTAGTAACTTGCTACAGGAAACTGGCAGAATACCGTTATAATGGGCTCCTGTTTAAAGAGAATTTCTATTCTTTGCCAGCAAGTTGCCATTGTCAAGTACCTTTAAATCTTATTTTTTGTCACTAATGGCTTAATTCTCTCGCGGTAGCGAACAATTCATGCCAAGTACTCATCACGTGTTATCTTTCCCGGCCATGTGAATGTAGGTAGTTTCAATATCTTGTTAGTAAGAAGTGGTGTAACCCAAAAACCTTACACCTATCTTGAGTAAAAGGCTAGCTCTCGAAACTTCAGCCTTTCAAAATTAATTGCAGAAATGACCGAGCCCTTCTCGACTTCAAGTTGTTGATGACTTAAGTATTGCGGAAATTCCGCTCGCCCGCCAACGCTCCAAACAGATTTTCAAGAAAAAAAATTTACTCTGATTTTTTACGACTTTTGTTTTCTTGATTTTTTAAAATCTCTTGAACTCACAATTTCAAAGCAACGAATAGGAAATGGTACAACTCAAAAACAAAACAGCAACTCTGCGGGCAGAACCATTTATAAAAATTCAACAGATTTCAATGCAACTCACTGCTATTTTTGGCCAAACATCGTTCAATACGCATGGAACTTGTTCGATATCGGACCCCAAATAGGATACTTGATTTCACTCTTTCTTAAAATATTTACACTATAACTTCATGAAGCGAAAATTTGAATTTGAAAGACAGCAGTGGCTAAGAGTGAAACAAACAAAAAATCATAAACGATGTCAAAAGTCAAACATCTGCGAGACTAAGAGCAACCCAGCAAAGTTTGTCGCAAAAATTAAAACAAATTAATAAATAAGATTAAATATGTTTGAGTCAAGCGATCTAAGTACGATGAACAGTTAAATTCTGCGCGTGCGCGCCTTGTTACCTGTCGCGTGAATTTTGCCGACGTTTTTATACCGCCACGAACGGAACTGTGAATGGGGAACTTCTTTCATTCTATAAGTCTACGAGAGAAAGTTTTGAATCGTTTATACCTGATCACTCTCTTATTTTCGACGCAGTTTCGTGTGCTGAGTTGTTTTGTTCTACAAAAAACAAATATTTAACACTTGACATGAAAGTCTGTATAACGTTTTATATTTTCACAGTTCGTTTTTTGTTTGCACGGTCTGTTTAAAGAGGTTGCTATCACTACACATAAACAGCGAAAATATTTTTTTCATCGTCACGACATTCCGGACTAATTTGCCAAGTGTTTAAAATTCTTTGATCTAGAGATGCCATCAGTCTTCAATTCGATCAATAGGTGCCTTTATGAATTTTCTTCCCTGTTATAAAATGCATGCATTTTAATTTTTCTAAGTTGTTAGGACATTTGTTGAATAGTTGAAGTACTTGTAATTAGAAATATTAAGCTGGCGGGGTAAGTTCTTTTATCATTAGTGTCACCAGAGGATTTATTGCATAGGTTTCAACCTTTGAACCAGTGTTCGATGTTAACGGCCCACGTGAAATTGTAAGAAGCCGATCAGTGGCATGAAAATAATTTCAAGAGTGATTTTTTCATTAAACGAAACCCGAGGGTAGCTTTGTGTGTCCTCCGAACTAAATTTTGCTCAGCTGAGGCAAACTCAAATTGAATTACACTAGGTACTTTTCAGTAAATCAAACTACGGCTGAATTGTTTAGAAAAACGTATGAGTGAAAAAGATGCACCTTTTTTCGTTTTAAGAACCTTTTCATGATAGGAATATCTGGGTTGAATTGGCGAAAATCAATGAAGATGTTAAAAAATAGTGCCAAAGCTGAGATTTAATTGAGAAAACATTTTGGCGTTTTGATGGAAAATGATTTAAAAATACTATGAAATCACTTTTCTCATATTAACTTTCCCTCATCTTTGAAGTTTTAATAATAATAATAATATATTTATATAGCGCGTACATCAAACACTTCTCGTGGCGCTTTACAATACTATGAAATAATAAAATAACCTAATAACCTAAGTTTTGCAGTCAGTGAGTTGATGTGATGTTCTTTTTTTGCTAACAAAACGGCTTGACTTATAATTCATTGCACAAATACCACATGAATTGTAAACAATATTTAACCAACGGTCGTCTATAAATTTCAAAGAATATATTTAGCTTACGCATCAGAAACATACATTGTAATAAAGTGTGTGCAGCTAGAAAACTTCCTAAAAGATTGCAAAAAAAATTCAAGAATATTATTCAATTTTTCAGTATATGCTCACCTTTTTTATTTGGTCGAGGAACAAATCCAGCTGGTTTTAAACATTGCATAGATGCTTCTCTCTTAGAAGAAAGAAGTCTACAGTAGGCAACGTAACGTCTATACAGTCCACTGTCTTTTAATTCTTTATGACAATCGTCCACAAATTGATCACACACTTCTCTACAGGGTAGAATGGGGCCTTCGACGTCCTTGGAACATTTCGGAAGGTAACAAGAGCACACGAACATCCTAGAATAAGGAGAACAACTGTTGAAACGATCAGAAAAGTGGGTGACTTCTGATGAAACATGCTCTTGATAGCTCCGTCCTCCAATTTGTGAAAAATTCGCTGTAGATTTGTAGCCAACGTTGGCGCAAGCTGGAAGCTGAGTAACGTCAATTTGTTGGCATTTGCCAGCGTATGTCGAATCAAGAGTAAGAAAAAACGCGCAGTATAAAATCAAGAGTATGAGAAACATGGTTGATAGGTTTCAACTTGATAAGAACGAAAAGTGATATAATCATTTTTGAGTCAGGCTGTCATTATACAACGAAGGAAATTTGATATTGAACACCGAAACCAATACTTAAATATATCTCTGCTTCTTCTCGTAAAAAGGATCGTGACATTGGTCATGGGACGATGAAATTCTATGGGAAACGTATTGATGTGATCATAATGATCAGATTTTCAGCTGAAAAGGAATTATAATATGAAAAGAAGGATGTTGAGTGGGATCGCTGGCAACAGCACTTCTGCGGCAAAACTGCTCGTGTGACTAAAACGCGATTGGATAAAATTCACTTCACTTTCTTAAAAGAGGAAATTTTATGATAAGTTTTCAAAGTACTGCTCGACGTTAAAAAAAAGGTATTTGACCGATGGTCTAGTATAAGGATGTCATCGCTCACATCTAAAAATAAATCCTCGAACAGACAAAATCATAAATCTCGAGGTGTTTTGAAGACTGCGGGTAGCCGTCAAGTGTTCTACAAAACCCTGTGAACGAGAACTCAAGGAAACATTTTATTTTCAAAAACTCGACACCTCATAACCTCACACAAAAGACCTCTCGCACCTTGAGTAACTCGTGTTCAAATTAGCTAGTGCTAAATGACCAATCTTCCGGGCGAGGCTTCCGGAAGCTTCTTGGCATATTGTAACTGTGGGCCGGAAAATGATTCTCACGATACGAATCGTTACCAGCCTCGCGACTATCAGGTCTAAGGAAAGTTTCAAATAGACTTTACTGATTTCAAGTGAAGCAAATCTGCTCGAAGGATCCAGTTGTAACCATTACGATCACAATGGTAAAATGGAGAGGTAAAATGTGGTTGTTGAATTTTTCCGGCATGTCTTTCTCTCTCTGGAGTGACCAATTTTTTAATTTCTCCTCGCAGTATCAACATATCATACCGTGTAGGAAGGTGACGAGAGGAAAGAAAATTATTAAATAGGGAATGTTGATTGATGTTACATCAAATTCTCAGAACTGAGATTATACAAGAAGTATGGAAGAGAGTTATAAGAAATTGATGTTACGATCTTGGAGGGGAAATAATTTGAGTCAATTTTAACGTCATTGAGAACTACCTTAAATATAACTAGGATTTAACCTCGAAACGATATTTTGCTTAGGTACATAAATAATAATCTTTGCATGGGTACATGAATGATAATTGTTTGCTTGGATACATAAACATCCAAGATAAAAATAAATCGAAAAGGAATGAGGTTGGTAACATGTGACGAAAACTGACACAGATTGCGAAAGACATGAGAACCGGCAAAGTGACGAAATTTGGGCTAAATCTGAGAAACCGCGATATGTTAGCATCTCGTCGAAAAACTTCTCCAAACCAATGGGATGGCGTTATTTTCGTCGCACGAACGTTGACTGTATTTACATCGATTAAGGTCTGCGCAAAGTGTTGCAGACGTAATTCCCATCCGGCCTCTCTCCCGAATGGACGGTGCGAGGAATGATTCGGAAATTAGACATTTCCCAGTCTCTTTTGCCGAGATCAGGTTTCTGGGATTTTCTAAAACACATCCCGTTTCGCGTTGAAAAACAAAATATAAATATATTTAATTTTTAAATATATATTTCTATATACGTATAATTATAGGCGAGGAATAATTCTTGCACTGTCTGATCCGGCGATTTACTGGGAGATCAGACTAGTAGACCAGAATAACTCTGAATCATTTCAGCTCTTTTTCTCTCAGTTTTAACACCAGTACGGCCTGCTTTATTCGCTCTTTAAAAAACAAAAAAAAGTAAGAATGTTTCATTAGCAAAAACAGGTTTATTAAGAAGCAATATACAAGAAAAAAAAAAAACACGAGGTGACATGTAAATCTTGAGACGCTTCAGAAAACTCTCAAGTGAGTAAGGACTTGACTTGACTCTGCGAAGGACCAAGTAAGTGAGCCATATTTTTATAATGCATGTTTATAACACAAAGCCAGCCCACGTAATCTCTCAAGTCAGAAGCTCATGCCAAAAGTACTCAACAATACTTGAGATTCTTGAGCTCAGAATATTGAAAAATCGTTAGTAGATTGCATAATACATAAAAACATAATTTACAATGATTCAACCAATAAGCCCAGTAGACATGTGAAACTCTTGATTCTCATTTAATTTTTCTACGGAATGGGCTGTGCAAACCGAGCTGTTGTCTCTGAAGAAAACCATGTAAGCTTCATACGATGGCCGCAAGATCGAGGTAAAGACAGCCGTGCACAACGCATAACGATCCAATTATTCTAGAGATAGGCTTGCCACAATCGATTTAAATTTTGCTCACAGCACTCGTCGTTAAATTTTACAGTTTCGTTCCGCCTAGCTGCTAAGGAATCGTTTTCGGTGATTGCAGCAGTCTTTTCTCGTTGTTTTACCCGAGCTAGTCATCATAAAGCTACTGTTAAAAATCTCCCAATCATTAAAATTGTAATAAACAGTGCCTCGCATATTTGTTTGTTAAACTTCTCGATCTTTGATAAGGATTTGTCTCATTTTAAGTGGCGGGAAAAATATTCAGCAAAGAAGGACTTCAGATTAAAAGTTCGGTAAGATAGTAATAAAAAGAAAAAACCACAGAGATAACGACAAATTAAAAAGGAAGAGAACTAGAAATAATATGGCTAAGAATGGACGAGATCAAGTTGATGCAGATTTGAAATGATTTTAAAAAGTATTAGCAATTTTTCTGGGGCAATATAGAAAAACACAAAAGCCTGAGGTACTAATAAACCAAAAAGATGAAAACGTTAACTAAGGAGGGAGGAGATTGAAACGGATTGTAAATGACGAACTTGGCTTAAATCTTACACAGGCCAAATTTTCTGACAATATACAAACTTTTCGTGAAGGGGTAAGAAGTACAGAAGAGCTGCACCATTACTACAAGACTTTTGATGGAAGAAGAGCAATGACTTCTCTTAAAGAAACAATGAGGAAGAGTCTTGATTTCGCGTTATGCAGTCGGGTCATCAGGTTCGGTGTAAGTCGATCGCTGCTGTGTATAACCGCTTGTCCTCTGGTTGTAGCGCCTGCGCACAGTTATGGCAAGGTAGATGAAGATGATCGCAAAAAGTGGCACCAAAACGAGGGCAGCAATGAGACCCGGTGGAAAGGACTGGGGCGATATTATATTAGTCCGTGGACCTAAAAGGGAAAGAACAAAGCTGGTCATAAGATGAGCTTCAAAAAAACTCTGACAGCAAGGACTGGCCCGTTAGATAACGAAGGCGCATTTATGGAAAAAGGGTATTTTCCATTTTAAATTTTTACGTCAGATTTTAGCCGGTTAAAAGCCTTCTCTGTCGTCGGAATTCTTTTTTTGACTAAAAACGAAAAGGCTTCAAAACATTTCCGCCGGCGCCCCAGCAGACGTCAACACTTATGATTCACGCGACAAAAAAATTGTTTTGCAGAGTATGAGGAACAAAAAATGTACTTTATTGTCTTCCTGAATATCACCCGGTCCGTCTTGATGTTGAACAACGTATTTTATACAAGGACAATTACTCAATCGTTATTGATGATATTTTGAAGTCTATATTTGTTGATAAAAGAGGGGAAAAAACGGCAGAATCACGTAGGAAGTTCTTGAATATTGCCAGATCGCTTAAATTTACGAAAGACATGACCCAACGTCCTCTACGCAAGTGGCTATATTTGGCATAAATTGCAAATAACAATTCCGTGTTATCAAGTGTATAGAGGCGTTAAGATTGAATTAGGGAATATGAAGAAAAGTTTATTCTGGGAAAATATAAATATTGACCAAGGACGTGAGATAGTACACTAATAAAGTGATGTAAAAAAAAGAGAAGCTAACAAAACCGCCGATACCACTGACAATGCTGATACATTCCAAAGTTGTTTCATGGAGGTGATCAAACTCATTGTCGTTAACTGCATAGAAGGAAGCTTTCGCTTTTACCGTGATAGGGGAGGAAGTGAAGTCAAAGAGAATAAATATATTTTGAGTTGGAGAAGTTTTAGTACACAACAGATTGCATGGTTTGTGTAGCTAAGGTAATGTTCCACTCACAAATGACCAGTTTATGCACGCATCCAAAATTGAATCAGTACCAAAGAAGCTCTTACCTGAATACAGACATTTGGTGTTAAAGTTAGCTTTTAGAAAATCTCAAAAACTAGCTCATGATGCAGAAAAATATGTTAATTCTGTCTTACGTAGATAGCTTAGATTAGAAATATATCTTATTAACCAAGCGCGAGGGCCGTACTGGGAGAATATCGCTCGGTCCGTACAAAAAAGACTGAGGGCCGATATTCTTCCAGTACGGTTCCGAGCAAGCTTGGTTAATAAGATATATTTAATTTGTGAAACCGGCTGAAACCAATATTAGAAATGCATGTGTGAGACCTTCTATTGATTCACTGGTTTGGAATTTCACGCGTTGTCGGCATTATACTGACCCCCCAAAAAAGAGTTTTGCGGTGAAACGCGATTTGACGCGACTGGAAAATTGAAAAAGTTTTCGAAATTGTTCATATATTGCTGAAAATTTAAACAGGCATCACTGAAGTAAAACTAAGGTTCTCACCGAAAGCAGAGGAATTATTATGTGAGGATTTTCAATTGCACTGATTTGTTCTCTCTCCGTCTCTCCCCTGCAAAAGCATGTACAGCAACCTAGCGTTTGTCAGAGGACGATTTTTTAAGTCTGTTCTCTGAAATTTCCAAAAGTTTCCTTTGTTTAGTTCATCGACACAAGCGAGCCTCTTTCCAACCTTAAATGTGTCCAGTGTGTGAGTAATCGTTTTGGGACAAAGCATAATTGGCCAGGCTTTTCTTCAAAAATTACCGACAACAACTTCGCAAGGCGTGCTCATGTTGAAAGGATTTGTCAAATCATAACGAGACAGAATATCTTGCTGAGCAAACTAATGCTGGACAAATTTTATGCCTCCCAAAATTTTAGGATTCTGACGACACCCAGACGAGATATTCAATGTAAAGAGCTTATTCAGAATGATACAGCCAGTCTTGTAGTATAAGCATCCTATTAGAAATGGTCAAACCCAAGACTGACGCTTAAATAATCCGAAACCACCATGATGACCCATGATGCCACACGAACTCTTCAACGTGCCATCAGAATAATTATTTCTGACTAATTCGTTCCCATATCACTCAAACGTCAGAAATAACATTTTACTGTGGGAAGAGGTGGAAGAAAGGGAATGGGGTTGGGCGAGAGCTTCCAAGCCTTCCCACTCCTCCTCCGCTACCTTTGATGGTAGCTGGACGAACAGTTTGCGATCAAACTATGAAGTCAAATTCTCTCACAGCAGTCACATTATCTCTTAATGTCAATCTACAATGCATTTGTTATCTAAATGGTTAAGATAATAACCAACATGATGATTTGGCTGCTATTTTTAATTAACAAATGGTAAACACCACAGCGTACACTATTGAGTTATGGATGCACGCGGGAGGTTGCTAAGCACGAAAGAAGCGTAAGAGTCGCTCGAGGCGATAGCCGAGAGCGACTCTAGCTTCCTGAGTGCTTAGCAAACCTGCCAAGTGCATCCATAACTCAATAGTGTACGCTGTGGTGTTTACCATTTGTTTTATAACATAACATTGATATATTGTAGCTAAAGAGTTCCTTTTATTTAACAAATCTTACGCGACCAGAAAAAACAAACGCGCGCGGAAAAATAGTCTTTGCATTTGCTCACGTCAGCAGCGTACACCCATGGGCAAATGGGGGACGCTAAATTGACCAATCAGAGCGCGCGCTTTACTTTGGTTATGTTATAAAGAGGTATATTCGGTGAGAAAGCCTTCTTATATTCTCACCTGATTCCCAATGTCTCGCACTTGGCCACCTGTTTAGCTCACAAAAACCGCTTTTCGAATATCCCTCAGCCGGCTCAGCGCAGTAGGCTATCACTTCCGCAATATTAGCTGCTTCTGGACAATCGTCAAACAGGTCAACACACTCTGACCTGCATAGTGTCTCCATCTTGTTTCCTTTACATGGGGGTGTGTACGATGCACAAGCCAGCTTCGCGAGAATATTCTTACACTTCTCACTTTTGACGTTTTTCATCCACTGTCTCATAGTCTTGCTTTCCTTTTCTTGGAAGGTTTTGTTCTGTGTTTTTCCTGGTACAAAAGTATTCCGCCCGCCACTGAACAGTTCACTGCAGTTTTCATATTTAACCTTTTCTTTACAAGACAAACCTGTGTGTGTTACAGAAGAAGAAGGAAAACGATCACTATTTACTTTGAAAAGTGAACATACGGGAAGTGGAGTGGTAATGAACGGAGGGGAAGGGTGTCATCTTATTTTAAAATGTGTGTGGTGATCATGATCTATTCACTTGTTAAATTGGTAGTGAAACCGTTTCCTTTCAGCAATTTCAAACAAAAAGTTCTCGATTGAAAATGGAGAATGGGCATTTCTTTGTTTTGTTTTTTTTTTTTACTCGAGCTTCCTGTGGAATGCCCGAGTTATAAATTGGGCTTCGTTATTTTCCGTCTTGAGACGTAAAACGCAGTCTAGCAAGCAAAGCGCATGCGCTCAGTATGCTTTATCAGTTGCGAAGTAAGCAAGCAACTATACGGCATTCAATCGGGAAGTGTATACCCAGGTAAGCTTCAAAGCATATGGTTATCATGACGACCAGAAACATGCCCCGTGATTCAAGGGTAAATATGTCTTATCATACACTCAAACTAAATACAAAAGCACACACTTCGTAGTAGACCTACACTACAAGTTGTCGAGCGTTTTCGGATAACAAGCAGAAATTAAATGAAACAACACTCTTCGTCAGTTTACATGCCTTTGTATACATTCCTAAGCAAAGAAGCCCGAGTTCACGCAGTTAGGTGTCTAGCTTTTCATTAACTTAGGCTTCATTGTGAAAACAACAGTATTTTTTTTTTTTTAGCGGGCACAAATGTTTTGGGCCCAACTCAGAGTCATTTAAGACTGAGCCGCTTGGCAAGGGCTAGGATGACTCTAAGAAGGGCCCAAAATATATTCATGCCCAAGGATATAAGGACTGTAAAGAAGGGACTGAGCCGGGAGCTCCATTACAGCTGGAGCAGCATTGAAAAACTGGTTAAAGATAAGCAGGGTTGGAAGGATCTCGTTGCTGCCCTCATGTGCTCCACAGGCATGATGGGCAGTAAGTAAGTAGTAAGTAAGGATATAAACTGTTTTACTACTGTCATCATTTTGAAGGGTATTGGGAAAAAAAAAACTATAACTGCAGAGTCTGAACAATCACGCGAGGGTACGAGCGGGCTAGAATGTTCTAAAATTCATTTTGCTCGAAAAAATGCGCCACAATGCCCGAAAAGTGATGATGATTTTCAGTTTATTCCCGTTTTGTCATTTTGTTTTACTTTTTGATGAATAAAGAACAGAGCTTTTCCGGTTTTGTCTTACGACTTTTCGGAGCAAAGTCTTAACAATTTACCTCAATATGGATCATTTTTCTTGCCGCCTTTTTGTTCACAGCTTATTTTCATACCGGGTTTTAGCTTTTAGACGCGTTGATGGTTGTTTTTGTCAGTTTCCGGTTTCCGATAAACACCAATGCCCCCCTTTAATGTCAAAATTAACACCCCGAATTTATCGGTATTTGCTCGCTAAGAATGTTAGCCAAAGATGTTACCCATTGTAAACGTTACTGAAATTACTTTCTCGTTGCTCGTCGATGCTGAGGAAAGAAGTAACTTTTCACAAAGGGCAATAGACCACTTTCATAAATGGCTGCCGGATTATTTAAATTTAAATTAGTCCCTACTGGCCTCGTTCTCCAGTACAAAATTCAAAAGAATACATTATCTCAAGCGAGGCCAGTAGGGCTAATTTAAATTTAAACAAAAGAATATTTATACGGCAGCCATTTATTAAAGTGGTCTATTTATGAACTACAGAACAACAATCACTAGATTTAATTAGGTTTCGTTCAACATCGACATGTTCATATGCTTACCTCGAGTAAAGCTTGCTTTTGAATGCATGAAATTCTCGGGTTTAATACATCTAGGGTTTTCGGTCTTATTTTGTAGAACACTGCATAGCGACTTTAACCAGTTCAATCCAGTGAAATCCATTTGCGTGCCACAGTCGTTGACAAATTCCCAACAAACTTCTTGGCAAGGTAGTAGCGGTCCCTTCTCGTGGCATCTCGGTACGTACAGCGAACAGAGCATAAAGGATGTGTACTTTGAGCAATCATCGAGTTTTACCGTAATGTAGTTGATTATATCCGCATAGCTTCTGGCGTAATACTTATTCGCAAGACTTACAACCGTGACATTGAAGCCTTCTTTGACACAATCTGGGAATTTTGTCGCATCTACTTTGCCACAATTTGATAGCGCCGAGATCGGGTCGCTCTGATCCGTCTTTCGAGGTAGATTTGTCACGGACACAATGAACGCTATGTTTAAAACGACTTTTGCATTCATCCTTGTTGAAAAGCGTTGAAAAACTGCCTTAATTTACCGTTGGATTTTCATCAAAACCCCGAACTTCGCATCATGTCGGACAGCAATTATCATTACGCTCGAGGAATTTACTAGCTTAGCGTGACGCATTCCACTAACTTGTTATTGACCTCTTGAATGGATGAAAAGTAATTAAGATCGATAACAAAGAAATAATTATTCATTTGTCTTGTTCTTCTTGTTCAATGAAGTGACAATGAGTTTTAGAATAAAGCGCCCGCACATAAATTAGAAAACCGCAGTGACGAAGGACTAACGCTCGAAGCGTCAGCTTTTTTATTCGTTACGGTGGCCAATTTACAATTTCAACTTAGTTTATATGACCAAATTACGCAGTTTTTCAATACTTCTCAACCATATTGATGGACTTAGAGTCAGTTAAGCGTAGGGTCTTTGTGTATACACCCGATTGTACAACACCTGAAAACCATCAACCATGAACGATGCAGCCTCAAGGGTACACATCATGTGCCTTTACATGACCCATGACAACCACAATAAAATGCTTGCGTTTTCTTAAATGAAAAGGATCGCCTTTAGATCAAAAAGAAAAATGTTTATCATACATTACGACAGAAGTGAATCACTACTGGTCACTGATTAGGTTACTCCAATCGAGAGTAAAACCTCAAAACGAGCAGTCTTTCTTTAACGTTTAGCACAGCCAATAGATGTGCAAGGAAAGGATGGGTGGATGTATGTAGCTCTCCCCCCCCCCCAATAAAAAAGCTAACAACGGAAATTCACAATAGCTCTAATTCCCATGTTAGCTAGAGATTGTAATCTCTTGTTGCTTATCATTTTCACCGAGAGTTCGGTGGAAAATATTCGATAGATTTTTAAGCGGGGGAAAATCGGTGACCCATACGTCTAAAAACCCTTCTTACTCTCCTTTTAGCCCACAGGTGGCCCAAGCGTACTGTGTGTGATTTTTAACAACAGGTGGCCCAAGCGTACTTTGTGTGATTTTGGGGTCTAAAGGTCATTAACGGGAATACCTAACATATTGGGATCGAATTTTAAGTGTAGGCGCGGGCTGTCAAAGAAAGGGAAAATTATTATTTCATTTTTTCTCAATTTTTTTTCAAATTTTCTCTTTTTTAACGGCCCACACTTACGCTTAAAATTCGATCTTAATATGTTAGGTATTCCCGTTAATGACCTTAAGACCCCAAAACCACACAGTACGCTTAGGCCGCCTGTGTTTAACTGAGTCTTCTTTGCATCCTCTTTTTGTCTGTCATGCATTAAGATCTGGTTAAGGCGCATTTGTGTTCCGTAACGAGACACAAACTACTAAGAAGTTGGCCATAGACATACTAACAGACAATAGGAAGGCAAAAATAACAGTCGTTGGGTACTGGGTAGACGTACAAGTTGAAACAGATATGAATCATTTTTCAATTTATTTCACTCCCTCCTTCTTACCACCGAAAGAACAAAAAAAAAAAATAACCTCTTGAAAAATATAGTGTAAAAAAAAACTCATAAGTAAATTTTCGAGGCCAGCTCATTTTATAGCACATCAAAAATTCCAATTATTTGTCCGTATTTAGAAAATATTTTACCTTTTTTTTCAATCACAAACCTTCTGTTTGATTAAATCTTTATCATAATAACATTTAGTTCAGGAAAAATAAAATCTTTGTTTATGATTGTTATCCCTTGATGGCTACTGAAGTACTCAATTATCCTCCTGAACGGGTTGTCTTTTAACCCGCTCGTCTTGTTCTGGTTTTTCACTTTTTCAATTTTTCCAAAAGCGCAATCCTGACCTAAAAATAACCTTTTGCCTCAGTGCTTCCCTTGTGGTTGCGTTATTGATTCGCACGGTGCAACTGAGCATGTGCGGCTTGTGGGTTGAAGGTGACTTGAAAACCATCAAGCTTTACGCGCAAACACGAAAAATTGGCGCATGCTCATGTTTTCAGTGCCACAGTTGTTTCCCACTCATTCGAGGGATGACGTTTGTATCCCAATACCCACCAATCCTGAGGATATCGACCTCGTTTAAGTAGCAAGAGGAAAGCGGTAACAACGATGATTGAAAGCACTACTACGACAGTTGAAACTATGATGGCTACAACTGGTAGGGAGTACCTGGTGCGCACGTGCAGTGGAACAGACTTTACAACCGCTGAACCGAGAGTAGTTAGGGTACTTGAGGGCCTGGGTATCGTTGAACTGTGACGACGCGGCAACACTGAAATAGACGTAGATTGACAGTTTTTAGTTGAGTGGCTAACAGTGTAGTAGAATGGACATGAAAAGAATGTTGCGGAGAAGGGGGAGGGGAAAATCAAGAACTGTCGGAAAATTTACTGACACTGCACTGGGCTCCAAGTCGATAGGTCCTAGCTACTTTCTTCACCTGTCTGATTCGTTATACATAATGTCTTCTTGTGCAAAGCACTTCACTCCACAGCGCTTCTCTCGATCCAGGTGTAGAACTTCATAAAAGTCAACCACAAGGAAAATGTGACGAATAATCAGAGGGGTTGGAGCAACCGCCATGGATTAGCGTCCCAGGGAGAGATGGAAGGGCTGGCAATAATGCTACTCGTGTTCAACGAAACAGAAAGTAGCTCTAAAAGGAGGGCATTGGGATCTTCGGTTTTGCGGTCTTGGCTATTAGACCGGTTTTTCGGTTTCTCTGCCAAAATACATTGTTTATTTGGTTTTGGTGTTCATTGCGGTTTGCGAATTTTCCGTTTTTTAACATTCAGTTTTCGATTTTCCTATAACATACTTATGGTTTTCGGATTTGGTATCCGATGTGGTTTTCTGTTTTTTCCCATTTGGGTACCGATTTCTCTTAGATCTAAGACTGAGCGGCAATTATGCGCCTCCACTAATGTCGAATCACCGCGAAGCCTCTGTAGGCTCCACTTGTCACCACTGTGTCGGATCCATCGGGGTTTTGATATGTCCTGTTATAGCGTACTAGCGTGTGGACCTATCCATGATACTTTTGTACCAAAAGATTGGTTTATAAGGAACGGTTTTAATGATTACTCGTTGTAGAAAAAGCTGTGATCTTCAGGGGTGTATTTTCTACAACTTACTTGTAGTATTTGGTTCCAATGGCCACCGCCCCGCCGTCGGCCATTTGGTCAGCGTACAAAATCCCTCTAAGTCACTGCTTTCAGTCGCCATTTGCTCACAGTAACTGTATTCCCCAAAGTGTTCTCTGTACAGTGCTGGACATTTCTGTCGCATGCTTTCACAATCAGACTTGCAAACTGTTCGAAGAATAATTTCGGTCTCATCCCCCTGAAAACATGGCGGAGCAAACTCTGCGCAGAAAATCTTTTGAAGTAGTGGAGAACAGAAAGAATGATTTCCAAAGTTGCTCAGCCTTTTCTTGAGAACGATGTCGAGAATCCGCTGTGATGTCAAAGATTGGGTTGTACGAGTGTAACCAAGATGAGAACAGGAAGACATCGTTAAGTTGGAGCAGCTCTGTGTTAGAGGCGCTGTTCCACAAAGAAGGAATGTTCAGGAAAATTTGAGAGGAAATTAGGCATAAAACTTTTCATACCCTGGTGTGGCAGAATGGGAGTAACAAGGGGGCAAGAGTATCATATAACCCCATACATTAATTATACATTCAGATTAGTAGACTTTGTTTTTAAAGTTTTGTCGTGAAAGACAAAGAAGGGGAATGCATAATCAATATATGGGGTTATATGGTACTCTTTCCGTACAAGGGCTGTTATGTGAACCCTTTTTGTTATAAAAAAGATTTGCAATAAAATTAAATAATAAAAAAACTTGCCGTCACAAAAGCCAACAGGACGATCGTATAAGACGCTAGTCGTAAAACAGATGGCTTACGGAAAAACATTGTCAACATAGTTTCGATCGATGAGAATATAGCCACCCGCTTAAAATCTTTTTTTTTTTTTCATACCAACCGGAAGCGAATCAAAAGCCATCCTTAAGAAAATATAAGCTCACGAACTACGATAGCGGCGAAATTTCCGAAGTTTATGTGCATCAACTCAACCCTACAGACTGAGCGTCTTCAAATCTACCACTCTTTACGGACAAGAAAACGAAGATAGATTCACACATGATTTGAAGGGAAAAATCCAATGAAATCATTATCCTTGACAAATTTGGTGGTAGTGCTTGACCAAAAACTGGTTTGCTCCCTACATGTCACTGAAGAAGATACGTTCTTCAAAGCCTCCCGACAGAGGTAAATGAAGTGGCCGGGTATTCTGCAATTGCTCCAACTTGTTAAATAACAGATGGGGCTGGCACATGACTTCCTCGTTTTTTTGTCGCGGATTATGTTCGCTTCGTATCTCAAAGTAAAGCTTTCTTAAGTCTGTTATATTTGGAGGAAACAATATTTGCATTTCATCAGTTATCGCAATGGTAAAAATATTCGTAGTGACGAGCAATTTAGCTGTTTATAAAGCTGTAACGTAATTTATCAACAAATTAAACGTTTTGGATACTGGAACAAAGCAACTCAAATAGAAGCCACTCCCTGGTGAAAGTTTATTTTGGATAGAATGTACACAGCATTTTCGTTGAAGAAAAAAGATCCGTTGTTCAATTAATTACTCGATCTGAATTTCAAATTTCTACTTTTAAACGAAGTAACCTCAATTGTTTCACAAGTGGGTGAGACTACGCGAACAAATTGAATAAATTTATTGACGGAAAAGAAATTTACTCGTCCGCCTCGAGACTTTTGGTTCATGTTTAAAACAAATGACAAAACATTTTTCAGCCGAAATAAATCTACACGTGTTCTTCATATTTAATTTCTTAAACGGAGCATTTTAAAAACAAATACTTTTCTCTGAAAGGTAACCGGCAAACGCAAATCCCTGATTAGGAATAATTCGAGCAAACGAACAGTGAATTTTAAGATGAATGTTTAAAAGGGCGTAGCATTAATATAAATTTTTACTTACTTGTGTTGTCAAGTCGCGGCCTATAATTTCCCGGCAGATAACATTCTTTTCCTTTGCTGTTATTCTCCGATGACGGCAGCAGATGACAAAGTCCTTTAATCCATTCCAGTTTTTCGTATTCCACTTTCGTCTCACAGTCTCTGACAAAATATTCGCAGACTCTTCTACATGGCAAAACAGGGCTATAGTTTTCTTCCACGCATTTGGGAACATTAATAGCGCACATAATGGTATCTAAATATTGCGAGCAATGCCCAAACTGTTGTACTTCCCGTTTCAGATTATGCGCGATGATGCTTTCGCGTAGCGTAGAATTACCGGGAAATTTAGCCGTAAAATTATACCCGGCTACTTGAATACATCTTTGAAATAAATTCGTATTTAGTCGTTGGCAGATTTGACCGAAAACGGCGGTTAAATACACCAAAAAGAGAGAAATTATCACTGGTGTCAGCGCAATATTCATCGCAGACTGCGGATAACGACGAAATATCAACACGTGTAAAATCAAAAGCCCTTTAAATGTGCTATTTTAGATTTCACCTGACTGAGTCACGTTGACCGCGCGAGTTACCATGGGGAGATTATATTGGGCAAATCAACGTGGAGCACGTTGTGGCCACAAAGCATCTTTCTGAGCAGCCTGGCCAAGTTTTTAAGGCTTGGTTACATGCAGAGAAGTGTTTATTCTTGTTGTCAATTTTTTTTTGTCATTCTGTCTGTTTCAGCGCAGTGTGAATACCAGAGTTTTCAACTGGTGATTTGCATGTGACGAAAAGATCTGGCACCTTTGAGCGGAAGCTGCTTAAAATTGAATTCGTATAGGTAATCACATGATTTCGAGTGCAATTTGGAATAAATAAGCACGAGTAAATTTTTTCAAAGACTAACATGACTAGCATGAGCCCAAAGGGCTAGTGCAATTTGTGGTCTTGGAAAAAAATTTACAAGTGCTTATTTATTCCAAATTACACGAGAAAAATCATGTGATTACGTATTTATATTATACATAAAAAAATACGAGGTAGCTTATCATAATTATGCAGAAGAAAAGCGAGCGAATCACTTGCAAAAGTAATTTATTCAAAACCTGCAAGTGACATTGTACGTTCGGTCAAAACAACTGCGTACGATCAAAACAATAAGATAAAATGAAATTTCACATCTTTAAGACGCAAAAAAGTTCAAAGTCCGGCCAAACAGTTCAAGGAATTGTTCAGTGAGTTTGGTAATTCAGTGAGTTTCTTTGATTATTGACCAATCAGAATATCTGGTTTGTTACTTTCTTTGTACTGAATTAACCCTCTTCTGCACTGAATTACCTGAAAACTGCATTTATCTTAACCAATCAGAACTGAGTAATTTTTTCATGTATATTATTAGCCACGTTATTAATGTTAAAGATTTAAAAATGGCTGACAAAAGGTCTGGGCAGTAATGGTAACAAATCGGGCAAGAATGACAAGATTACGACGAACAATTCATTTACGAACCCTGTTTTTACTTGAAAACCTGGTTTCTATAAATTTATCAGACAGGAGCTACATGAAATTTGCTGAAGGCTTTGATGAAAAGCCGGCGCGAAATAAAATAAATGAACAATACGACGGGATCCCCAAAAATCACGTTTGATTTTGGACACCAACAAGAATCACTATCAAGCTTTATCACACCTCTGTGTGTTTAATGTCAACTTTCTAGAAAGTCTGAGACTACGGTGCAACCTCTTCTGTGGTCTGAATGGAAGTAGCCATGCTATTCTGTTTTTTTTATAAATAATTTATCTGAAAGATATCAATTTGTAAAATATGGTGGAAAGCATCATTGAATAAATAGAAGAATATATGAAAATTTCCGGCTAGCAATATAAAATAAAAAGGAAAAAAGAAAAGGAAACACTCAGTTATCACATGTAATAGGTTAACTAATTGTAAACCTCATGACATGGACTACGCTCGTTGCGTGACCAATTCCAATACTATAGTTTTACTTGCTTTTGGTGTGGACTTGGGTACTTGTAACTTGGACCTCTTTTCTTTATTGTTATTCTTTTGATCGACAACCTTGAGCTTATTATTGACAAAAGAAAAAGAAAAACAATCTACAGTATTATTACTTTATTGGTTGTTATTTAAATTTTGCTGAGTCTAATAAGTTTGATACCTTAATCTTTATATTCTAGTCATCGTCATGGTTTGCACAATTATTTAAGTCCAAAAAACTTAACTTTTCCTATTGATATTCAGTTGAGTTGATCATCGGCAAAAGATATCAAAACAAGAAAGTCATTCGATCAATTATGGACAAAGTCGGTGAAAAGGGAAGGAGGGGCTATGCCAACTGCGAACATCTTCGAAAGCTAAACCGTCTGCTAGTTATAATCATAATGACCCCGGCCAAGGGAAATTACGTTCATAATCATGCTAATTCAATCTGTTTACAAGCGGAATTCGACTGAAAATAAACACTGATATCATGTTTTATGCAAAGATTTCCATCAGTAGACCACGGCGTTGCTTTTAGTCTGACGTTACGTAATAAAGTTGGACCTTCGAGAGTAACAGGACAGACAAACCAAGCCGGTAGCTAAAATGTCATTCCTTGCTTTGTGTGTGATGCTCCTTTGCAGTTTTGACGCTGCTTTGAGTTCTCCGGATGAGTGGCTCGCGCAACTGAGGTATTTGCGATCAACAAGTGATTCCAAGTGTCACAGTTTTGCTGATGGCCCATTCAGTTTCTGCTCGAAAAGTGGTTACAATACTACGTTCAAATATCCAGAACATTTGACGGACTCAAAGCTAAATAGGACTGCCATTTCTATTCAACGTGTGCTGTCAACAGTCGATAGTTGTTCCTTAGATGCCAATGTGGGAGAGTCCTTAATGTGCTCCTTCTTTATCCCACACTGTTCGGGTGGAAAACGAATTTATCTTTGCAGGCGGGTCTGTGGAGAGTTTTTGAAGAAATGCATGCATAAAGTTCCACCAAATATTGCAGATTACGCCGTCGCTATTTGCCATACGCTCCCAGAGAAAAACAGTGACAAGGAATGTTTTGAGCCGCCCAACTTCATCACGAACGATAGCGTCAAAGGTCAGAGCTATTCAAGAAGTTAATCTTAATACTACTAGCGTCTTAATTGAGTTCGCTTAAAGTTAGTATTGACTACCTTACTTGTGCTAATTAACTGCTTGGATTTTCTCTGTGCGTTTCAACAAGTTGCGTATTTTCTTCAAGTCAGGATAAACAAATCAACCTTCTACATGCATATTCAAAAATTTTGCTTTTTCTTATTTAATAAGTAAACGAAAATTTTAAAAGATGGAAAATTTAGAACAATGCAAGCGGAAATTTCACACAAACATTTGCCTCAAAATGCTAACATAGTGGAGCAAAACAGCCGATTAATTGTTAGAAAAACATATAATCCCATGGGACATTTCAAGCTTGATTGCACAAACTGAATGCCCCCTTCTGTGAAGTGTTTAGCGACCCTGACTCTTAGGCAGATAATTGTCTTTGAGAGATAAGTTTTTATACGATCTGATTGGACTATTTGTACGTATAATTCAATAGTAGGTCCAAATTCCAGTTCCTCTTTATGCAGATAGATGCTCACTACGCATTTTGATCTCCACTAATTTATAAGAAAATAAGTCGAAACGGACTTATCAACGGATCTTTGCTCAAGCAAGACACGACACTAATCTGATTTCTTCCGTTGTGTTATAGAAGTAGATATGTAGACACATGCACAGTGATCGTTCCAATTCACAGGGTGAACTGAAACATTTTTATGACCGATATCCTCCATGGTTACTGATGGCAACCACTCCAGCCTTATGCGTCGATCAATATCTACTGGTTAAATTTCCCACCCTACCTAGGCAGGTTCAAATCCCACACCCTGCACCCCCGGTGCAAGGGCGACAGTGAAATGTCCATGGATTGCCCGTGGAAGCTTTGATGTATCACTATGTATACCGTAGAAGGCTTATTGCGAGTAAGGTATTCTATCTCGCAGTTGTTTCCCTACATGGCTATAGTTAATAAATTTGGACAAAATGAGCGGAAGGGGGAGTGGAAACAGATCCCCCTTCCCCCTAAATCTCCACATTTCTCCGTCCCCTTCTGAGCCTCTTGGTAATCTTCTTGTTAGAGACTACTTCACCTTCCAGGAAAATCCAAAAGGGGTCAATTATTTGCAAAGAAACACTACTACTTTGGTCTTTTTACAGGACCCCTGGACCGAGGCTGTCAAGAACTGATTCTTCCGGCATGTAAGAATCTGGGCGTGTCCAACCACACTCTCATATCAGTGGAACAACAGAAAATGATTTACACGATGTTCTACTACAAAGACTATCAAAACCATAACGTGGAACAAGACTTCCCGCCACAATTGCAAGAAATGTTTAAAAAGTATCCTAAGTGTCAGGAAAATATCAAAAAGCTCTTTTGTGGAGAGTATTTCTCGCCATGTTTCCCAGAGGAAGGGAAAGGATTTTACTCTATTTGTAAATCGGTGTGCAGCCAAATTCTCAGAGACTGTCCCAACTTTTTCAGGTATTCATTTCTTCTTTTCTTTTTGATTACAGTTCGCGATCTATGAATAAAATTACCAGCTATAGGTTGAGCTATTGGCGAGGCCATTTAAGGTCTCTTAGGAGCAGCGATTGAACGCACTTGCGCGGGGAGTGTCGTGTACATGTACGTCTTGTCATCAGGAATTTATCTTCTCTTGCGGGGCTTACATCAATGAGACTGGTCATAATTTATTGCCTAGAGGGGGCTAGAGGAATTGTATTGTATGAAGATAAGTTTATCTGATCCCCAAAAAGTCTCTGTAATTCTTATGACCCACCCCCTTCCAGTAAATCATCGATAGTCCACCCCCGCACCCCCCCCCCACCTCATTGATAGATAATGACTGGAGCTTAAAAACATGAATACAAAGTGATCAGAGCTTTGTTTTTTGGCTATTCATAAGGTAAACCCAATATTAAATTTGACTTTGAAAATTGTTTAGAATTATACATCATCAAGTCATTTTTTAGTTTAGTCCATTTGATTTGTTTCGTTATTCTTTGGTAGAAATGATTCGCGGGACGCCGAGTTTTGTGCCATATTGGGAACAGAAAATACAACTCATGGATATTGCAAGCGTACGGAGTGGCCGACGCCATTTAGCTGGGCACGTTATGTTCCAGGTCAGTTAGAAAAATTTTAGGGCTCTAAAGGCAGTAACTAAATAACGATCTTTCACTCGATCATTTGGTTGGTCAGCAGTTCTTTTGAAGATCCAACTGTCATTCACCAGTCAGTTTTTTTTTTTTCAATGGTTTGTTTTTGAGTCGAGATCAGTCTGTTAAAAGAATGTTTTTTTTTGGAAGGTTATTTGGTCTGCTTGAAAAGTCAGAAATAAGTTGGTGACAATTCCATCGTTCTTTCCTGAAGGATGATAGCAAATGATCACTCTCCTGATCCTGCGTCTTTCTTTGATCAGTCAATGGGGACCTTAAGCAGTCAGGACGGCGGCACTAAGGAAGACGTCGATTAAAAAATGAATTTCTACTTTTAATTAGCATTTCGAAAATTGCCGCAGGTGTTTACTATCTCTTACGGCGCCACACCTCAACCTCAGCGTAACGTATGGTAGCAGCGCTGTGTTCCAAATGGAAATTACAATAATTTGCCGTCGCAGTTTCCGTTCGCAGACGACGCAAATTTTGGTGATTTCTCGTTGTTGTTTTGCAAAGGACGGCTAAGAAATGTACAAAGTTTTAAAACGCACGTGCTGAGCTATTGTTCTGCCCACTAGATCTTTTGTTTTGCCATGTCCTCGTTGCCGTCGCCGTCGGGGTTTGCTTAAGGTCCTTATTCACAAATAGTAAACATATCACAGCCAGCAGAATACGGGGGGACAATGGGGAGAGCGAATTAGGTTACATGCTTTTATACTACGTGGTACGGCGAGACAGCCCATAGCTCCCTCGTATACTTCTGCGGCCCACTTTAGCAAAGTGAAGCGCGCTCTCTGTTGGTCGATTCAGTGTCCACCATTTACTCATGGGTGTACGCTGCTGACGTGAGAAAATGCATAGACTAGTTTTCGCGCGCTTGTTTTTTCTTGGTCACGTATGATTTGTTACATAAAAGGGAACTCGATGTCATGAAACAAATTGTAAACACCACGGCGCTCACTATTGAGTCACAGATTCACTCAAGAAGCTAGAATCGCTCTCGGCTATCGCCTCGGGCGACTCTTACGCTTCTTTCGTGCTTAGCAACCTCCCACGTGCATCGATAGTGCACGCTGTTGTGTTCACCATTTGTGAGTGAGACTCTAACAGGACTTCTCCTTTCTAACAATTTTTCAGATGAGGAAGGACAGTCCACGAAAGAAGCTCCAACCGAAAGCGCCAAGTCTAAAGGTCTCCAAACATGGGTGATCGTGGTGTGTGCGCTGGTGGCATTTATCGTTATAGGAATTATTATACTTGTAGCCTTATGCATAAAATGGCGTCGTGCTCCCCTGACCTCAGGGTATAAGAAACAAGAAAACGATTTAACCACTCTGGAGAATTCAGTTGACCTCTGAATGCTGGCATCACTTCATGCAATGCTGAGAGAACTCAGGAATTATTAGAACAATTCTCACAAATCTTACCAAGCACCTGTGTGTCCAAACATGGAAAACCCTAATTAAGGAGAAATAAACACATTTTAATGATTTTCAAACCTCGTTTAGCCAGCTGATGTTTTAGCAGTGAAATTGTATTAATCCGTCAAATTAAAACAATTTCCAGTTTTAAAAAGTAATGAAAGTTTTGTAAAACTAAACGTAATAAAATTTAGCTGTTGTAAATCGAAGTACTACGCTGTTAAAAGTGGCCTTCAACGAAATCTTGTTCTTAGATTCTACAGTGAAGCTGAAATGTCCACTTAGCCGTGAAGGACTGGGTACGAGACTAGTTTCAACGTTGAAAAAGCCTCGTTAAAAAGCGAACGTCGCTCACACCCTCTGATGGTACTTGGCTGGTTCATGTATTGTTAACTTTTGGTAGGAACTCTTCTGGAAAGCGAAACAGGGATGACGAGATATTTGTAGCCTGCTAGCAGACCCAGGCCCTCGCCATCAGCGCTGCAGGACGCGTTTTTCGCCGCTCGCGGGAAGATTTTGAGATGATTCGAGGAAAGTTTTTTCCGGGGGTCTGGCACTAATGTTGAGTGCTAGATTTCTTTAGTCTTGTGCCCAGACCTTCCACGACCAAGCACGGTAGGATCGGAGTACGAGAATAAGACCCCTTTCAGACCACTCGCTCTCGCCGGCTTGCATTGCTCAAGACCCAGTACCTTCTTGCGGGCGAAAAATCCCCGCGCCGAAGCGCTAGTAAGTGGGGCCTACGAGCATGCTAAATATTCAATAAAACAGTTATCCAGTAGAGAGGTTTACATAAGAACTCCTTGGAAGCAGACGAATAAACACGGCAAAACAGTATTTTAGTGATATCTTCACTTCCAACTTCTTCATTGAAAAATCATTGTCTATCCCGCACACTTGTCCGGTGAAGACCAATCTTAAGTTATATTTGCATTGGTGTGGTCGATTGTGACGATGAAGGCAAACACTCGGCTAAACAACATAATTAAGGTGACTTTTATCAAAAAATATGTAATGGACCGCCTTCTTTTGATAAGAAATTGTATTGTTTATAATTTTAGATATGAAGGATCTACCGATTCAGCCAACTTGGTAAAACAAATGAAAAATCAATCAGAATTATAGGCATGCGCTAATACGAGAAACCAATCATGGCGTTATAACTACTCTAAAATATTAGCTCTTCATCCGTGAAATATTATCAGGAGCTGCTAAAATGAGAGCCGAACCCTCACTGTGCTCATGTTTTGAAATATTCTAAGAATGAGATTTTTGTTTAAAACGCTTTGGGTTATGTTTCGTTGTACCACAGTTTTTGCTTTGCTATGTGCAAAAGTTACCGGGTCTTCTGCCCAACCAATGGGAAATCATTGTGTCAGCCTTAAGGAGACCCCTTTTGAAATGTGTATGAACGCCGGCTATGACAAAACTGTACCATTCCAAGACGATTTAACGGGGGCAGAGCAACAAGAGGTGGCAAGGGAATTTACAGAAATACTTCAGTCAACGAAGAACTGTTCGTCCAACGGTGTCGCAGAACTCATCGAGTGTTCTTTAGTCGTTCCTAAGTGCAACGACTTTGGTGAGCCTGTGTACCCATGTAGACAGGTTTGCGCTGAATATCTGAGGCGATGTGAGCATCAATTATCCAAACACGCATTGGATTATCTAATCCCTTTGTGCCTCCTCCTTTCAAAGGGCTGTGATGGTTGTGAGCCGTGTTTTCGACCTTCCAACTTCACTGCGAACGAAACTGCGTCGGGTAAGTGACCTACCTTTCGCTCTGACGAAGGGCTAACGCTCGAAATGTCAGCTTTTTTATTCGTTACAGTGGCCAATTTACAATTTCAACCTAGTTGATATAACCAACTGAATTATCTCGTTACCCCCACCGACGTAGCACCACAGTTTCTTTAGAAACTTTCAGTCTTTATTAAGTGGCCCACCGTTTTGTTTCTGTTTGGTCTTGAGTTTTTTTGCATGAAATTGTTGGATTTTTTGCGAAACACGAAGCTAGGCATAAAAAATTCTCTGGCCAGTTTATAAGCACTGGCTTTTAACAAAATGAAACACGGGAGAAAATATTATTAACAATATTAAATCGCGACAATTGAACTCCTATTTATAAGGTCTGATATACTGACAACATCACTGCAAGAACTCGGATAGCTCTGCTGTGTACGAACCCAAAAGCAAAATGTCAAAATAATGATGTTAAAATGTAAAATTGTTTTTTTTTAGGCGGCCGACAAATAGTGCAACGGGTCATTCGTGGGGAGTTTATCAACATGCGTGCAAAACACGGGTTAAGATGAAATATCATGTCTTTTGTTGATTCCAGCCAGACCGTTTAATATATGAAGTCAAGTATTCACCTGGCCGTGAGTCAATTGCGCATGAACATAAGAACTGTACTTACACTGAGCACTGTTGATATAGCACCTCCATTCGATCCTTGAACGTTTTTGCAGGATAAAAATCGGTGATCCTGTATGACTCCATCTGCTCTACGTGGTCTACAATGGAGTTCACTAAGGGCTGATAGTTTCTCAAGAAACTGTTTGGGGCTGCGTCAGTGGGGGTAACGAAATAATTTGAATATATCAACAAAGTTGAAATGGTAAATTGGCCACCGTTACGATTATAAAGTTCACTAAGCATATCCGTTTAGCAGGCACAAGTCTTTGCAAGAGAAAGTAATGACCCGTTATTTTCTTTAGGCCTTTAGCGTTGCCTGCAGCGTCCTATGGCTGAACTTGTTCCCACGCCTCATTAGTTTACCCGATAGTTACAAGTGAATTCCCGTACATGCGCAGTTTTTGAATGAGGTGTCATTTCCCTTTGAGAAGAAGTGGTAACCGATTCATCCCTTCTGCCTCAATCATTTTTTGTCAGTTGGATGTTAAGGTTCGTTTTTCTGCAAAACTTAACCAAACACGAGTTAGGAAGTAGATCTGCCTTTAATTTCCACCTTCAATATTTTTTTTAACAGGCCCGCTGGATCGAGGTTGCCAAGAGCTCATCTTCCCCGCATGTAAAAGTTTGGGCGCATACGATAACACTTTGATCTCAATCTCTATGCAGAAGGAGTTATACTCGTGGTTTTTTAACAAAGAATATAACATAAACAACACTGAAACAAAATTTCCTGCGGCTGTTCAAAAATTATTGGACCAATACCCCAAATGCCAGGAAAACATCAAGAAGTTGTTCTGTGGCGAACATTTTCCGCCTTGTTTCCCAGATGAAAGTCCACGGGTGTATAGTCTGTGTCAACCTCTCTGTGATCAAATTGCTACAGACTGCCCAGGGTTCTTCAGGCAAGTCTGTAGAGTTATTAATTTTTTTTTTCAAGATTAACAAGCAGGAGAGGGCAAAGATGAGGGGGAAAGAGTTCCTTATTTTAGTGGACCAGAGATGGCGCTGCGGTGAAACTCAGCGGTGTC